CACCCTGGCCACAAGGCAGCTTCTGACCTGATGCCCTGGTGGAACTGGTTCCAACCAGACTTAAATGCTATTCAACATACACTCAGTATGGACGTGCTATCTCGAAATAGAAAAATGGTATTTTGAAATGCATTTTGTGTATAGACATGTTATTTCGAAATAAGCTATTTCAAATTAACTATTTCGAAATAGCTTATTTCAAAATAATGCTGTAGTGTAGACATACCCTCAGAGAGTAAGTATTAATGGTTCAAAGTCATGCTGGAAGGGCATAACAAGTGGGGTTTTGCAGGGGTCTGTTTTGGGATCAGTTCTGTTCAATATCTTCATCAATGATTTAGATATTGTCATAGAGAATACGCTTATAAAGTTTGCAGATGATACCAAGTTGGGAGAGGTTGGAAGTGTTTTAGAGGATAAAGTCATAATTCAAAATCATAGAATCATAAAATCATAGGGTTGGAAGAGACCTCAGGAGGTCATTGAGTCCTATTCTCTGCCCAAAGCAGTACCAACTCTAATTAAATCATCACAGCCAAGGCTTTGTCAAGCCAGGACTTAAAAACCTCTAGGAATGGAGAGTCTACCACTTCCCCAGGTAACCCATTCTAGTGATTCACTACCCTCCCAGTAAAACAGTGTTTCCTAATATCCAACATAGACCTCTCCTACTGCCCCTTGTGACCATTCTACCTCATTCTGCTGTCTGTCACTACTGAGAAAACCTCTCTCCATCTTCTTTGGAACCTCCCTTAGGGAGTTAAAGGCTATCATCAAATCCCCCCTTACACTTCTCTTCTGTAGACTAAACAAACCCAAATCCCTTAGTCTCTCCTCAGAAGTTATGTGCTCTAGCTCCCTAATAATTTTTGTTGACCTCTCCTGGACCCTCTCCAATGCATCCACATCCTTTCTGTAACGAGGGCCCCAAAACTGGATGCAATACTCCAGATGTAGCCTCACCAGTGTTGAATAAAGGGGTATAATCATTTCTCTTGATCTGCTGGCAATGCTCCTCCTAATGCACTCTAATATGGCATTATCCTTCTTAGCAATGAGTTGGACAAACTGGGGAAATGGTCCGAGATAAATAGAATGAAATTTAATAAAGACAAATGCAAATAATTCTACTTAGAAAGGAATAATCAGTTTCACACATACAAAATGGAAAGTGATTGTCTAGGAAGGAGTATAGCAGAAAGTTACATAGGGGTCATAATGGACCACAAGCTAAATATGAATCAACAGTTGATGCTATTGCAAAAAAAGCAAACATGATTCTGGAATTCATTAACAGGTGTGTTGTGAGCAAGACACAAGAAACAATTATTCTATTCTACTCTTCTCTGATTAGGCCTCAATTGAAGTACTGTGTCCAGTTCTGGGCACCACATTTCAAGAAAGATGTGGAGAAACTGGAGAAGGTCCAGACAAGGGCAATAAAAATGATTAAAATTGAAAGAACTGGGTTTAGTTTGGAAAAGAGAAGACTAAGAGGGGACAAGATAGCAGCTTTCAAGTACTTAAAAGGTTGTTACAAAGAAGAGGAAGAAAAAATTGTTCTCCTTGACCTCTGATGATAGGACAAGAATCAATGGGCTTAAATTGCAGAAAAGGAGATTTAGGATGGGCATTAGGAAAATCTTCCTAACTGCCAGGATGATTAATCGCTACAATACATTACCTAAGAAGGTTGTGGAATCTCTGGTGATTAAAGTCCCCCACGAGAACCAGGGCCTGCGATCTGGAAGCTTCGCTCAGTTGTCCGAAGAAAGCCTCATCTACCTCATCCACCTGATTCGGTGGCCTGTAGCAAACACCAACCACAACATCAATGTTGTTGTTTGCTCTTTTAAACTTAACCCATAGACTCTCAACAGGTTTTTCTCCCTCTTTATACTGGAGTTCAGAGCAGTCGTAGTGCTCTCTTACATATAGTGCAACTCCTCCTCCTTTTCTCCCCTGCCTGTTGTTCCTGAACAGTCTATACCCTTCCATGACAGCGCTCCAGTCATGCAAGTCATCCCACCACCAGTGGTTCAAAGACTACTTTAGATATATTAACCACCACATCGTCCACAATGCTACCATGGAAACTAAAATTTTACTATAGCTGAATTTTTAAGAAAAACACTCAGATATAGACACAACAATACAGCCACACCCCAAGTTGCAAACGGTTGAGTTACGACCGTTTGCACTTACGACCAAAGTTCCCATGGAGCGGTCGTAAAGGCGGTCCCCCAGTTACAAATGTGATCCGCGCTTACGAACAACGCGGTCGCGTGTAACTCAATGGGGTCCGAGTTATGAACAGATCGAGTTACGGCCAAGTGTTTCGTCCGTAACTCGTTCGTAACTCGGAGAGAGGCTGCATAGTAAAATTGATTGAATTATACTGCCAAATAGTTGCATCAGAAGGTTGTATCTATTTAATGGTTTATTTATAGTAATGGCCCACGTGATTCTGATGCATCTCACATATGTACTCCTTAGGTAGATATAAACTAGCCCCAGAAAGAATAGCCCATAAACTATTCAGGGTGCATCTACACAGCAGGGCTTAACTCGAAATAAGTTATGTAAATTGAGCTATGTCAATTACGTAGCTTATTTCCAAATAGCTTGTTTCGAAATTGGGAGCATCTACATAGCACCTATTTCAAAATAGAGCACTCTTCCTCTGACTTCCCTTACTCCTTGTACAATGAGGGTTACAGGAGTCAGAGTAAGAAGTCCTGCAGCTCGACAGTATTTTGGCACTATTTCCAAATAACGCTAGTTATTTCGAAATAATGCTGCTGTGTAGATGTACCCTCCCGCTCACATCCTGTCCCATACATCCCCTACCTAAGGAGGAAAATGCTGCATCAGGAGAGAGTATAGGCACCTATTTTACTTAACCTCCAGGGGGCACCAGTGCTTACTGAGCCTGGTGTTCAGGTGCTAACCCATTGACTTGTTCACTATTAGAGGAGTTTAAAAATAAAGAGTTGAACAATTAAAGAAGCACAACAAATTTGCAGGTTGTGTTGCTCCTTGTCTGCTATAGCACAGTTTCATAGAAGCATGTTAGGTAAATGTTCCGGAACTGTTCATTTAATCTAATCCACCCCATTGTTTTCTCTGATACATAGCTCCACATTGTCCCTCCCAGTCCCATGTGAAATGGAGAGGAATGCACTTGATGGAACAACTCCCAAACAGCCAAAGTAATAAAATATAAATGGCTAAGGTATTTAACATGAATCACCAGTTGCGAATCTAGTTTAGCACTGTGTCTTGAGTTTAGATTTCTAAAATGTTTCTTCCCCATGTTAAAATACTTTTGAAATTAAAACATTTCAAAGGCATTTGTATCAGAAGAAAATGAATTAACATGTGATATGAGACATTAAAGCATAGGGTCATATATGTATTATATTTCCTTACATCTTGCAAACCATTTGAGATATATAGAGAATGAACTGTAACTAGCTATTTGAAATAAGACTTTGTGCTTCTTGGAAATGTGTTGGAATACATACTTTCATGGATAAGGTAATCCAGCTATAAAGAAATATCAATTATCTATATTAGCTGTCAGCAAATTAAAATTTCTATTCTAACTGGTAGCAAACAAAATTAGTTTTCATATACCCTATTTTATTTAAAATAACTAAATAGAATGGAAGTTGACCATTCACTTCAGCAAGGCAATACTAAAGTTGTAGTATTCTCCCAACCATGCTGTCTTGACTGGTAACTTGGTACAGAGTATGCTGATAAGCATGTTAGAAATCCATAGAGTGTTTACATATATTATTACTAATGCATTCATCATTCTTAATACACCATTTAAGCATAAACTAAGTGATAGATATAACAATGTTATTGAAGCTAATGTTAAAAAATATCTAATACCAGATTGAGAAAAAGGGTTTCTGAACATCTCAGAGTCATGCTTGGATTAGTTACAAATAAAACTTTTGCTTAAGGATCATACAATACATACTGTGTATAATCAGCAAAAACTGAAATTTAGGTGTGCAAGTTGCACCTTCCTGTTTGGATATTATAATCAAGTATCTAGGTACATCATTCATGGAAAGTTGTACAGAGAGCTAGTAATAGAAAACAAATATATTAAGGAGTGGAGATGGTCCCTCAGTAAATCAGATTTTAGGGGTAGGCTGTCTGTTGTAAAATAAAATTCAGCAGTATTTGAGTTACTTTCCTGGCTGCACCTTTCATTAGCGCTTCTGCACCTTTCAGCAATATTTGGGGCCTTCAGTTGCATAGCTTTCCTTCGGCTGTAAAGATATGCTTTAGTAACAGCCTACAGGATATTTCTAATGATCTTCAACAATACTTGGATAGTGCTTTTTTGTGGTCAAAGCACTATCTAGGCACAAATTAACGGATTCATCCTCTGTCAGACAGTGGGATAAGCAGCTTCAATGACCATCTTGCCTGGTAACAAGAAAAGTCTTCAAGTGTTTAAACTGGTTATATAGAAACTAACATATTGGTCTAAATGAATCCCACCTTAATAAAGTGTGTATAAGCTCTGAGAAGAGGCGTGTCAGACTACTAGAGATATTCATTCAAGTAACTGAAACTGGGTTTTAAAATAAATTAGATACTACAGAGACCTTTCTATTGTGAATGGACAGTGATTATAAAAAATTTGCAAAACCCACATCAAGTAAGGACTGAAATAGCCAGATGTACAATTTAATTTACCTTAAAAAGTGTACATCCATTATAGCCTGCTGTGCATAAATGGTGAGTTCATCCCACCCCCAAAGTAGCTGCTGACATGTAGAGGTGATGTGTTCCTTGATTCTCTGTGCTGCATTTTAATGCAGTTTCTTGTATCTAATTATCCATTGACATGTTTTGTACAATTTCCTCTCAGAGGCAGGGAAGGAAAACAAGACCCCAAACCCCACCAGTTTGTGTAGATAGAAATTTAGGGAAATACACGTTTAATCGGGCAAAGACAGAACTGACATTTAGATTTCAGGCAATTGTAGCCAACGTGGGGGGGCTCCATGCACATTTCTCTTAGGAAGTGGCAGTGGGAGGATTGCGGCAGCTTGGTCTTGCTCCAATGGTTTGTCCAGGGAGCGATTCATGTTTCCCCTAAGGCTGCCTCTCATTAGCATGAACCAGGGGGAAGGGCATAAAAGACTCCAGTTCATTTAGAATCTGGAAAAGGTTTCCTTCAAAATGACAACCAAAGCATTGTGGCTCCTCTGTTTTGTCCTGGGACCATCATCCAAATTGGTGGCAGGTAAGTTTCTTAACATTCCAAAGCAGAAAAGGGCAGGTTTGCTGTTTCCAGCAAGGAGGGAAGAGGTTGCACATAGTTCTTTCCCACAGACTGGACACACTATTTCCAGTTCATGCCCTGACAGCCTTCTCCAGCTGCATCTGTTTCAGCACGTTGCAGCAGCAAGCATGAGACCTGAGGAAAGGAGCATTGGTCAAGAAAGCAAGCGGAGATGCTTGATGTGTCAGAGGAAGATTTATGTCCGGGGCAGCTTGACAGCAACAGAGAATAAGCTAGTGCCATGAATCCTGCGTTAGTCAGTATTGAGCGATTTGTAAGTTACTTAGTGGTTTGGATGTGCGGTTTCTTGTGTGTGACTTTTATATCCCCTCCCCACGATCTCCAGTAGGCTCCAAATCTCTGATCTGGTTCAGCTGTTCTGAGCTCCCACCTGTGCCTTCTGCATGTCAGCCTAAATGGGTTTGTTACTGCATCCTGTGAGGGGCATGGAGGTAAAAGATGTATCTTTCCTTGTGGACATAAAAGAACTGCACTATGTGGCAGTTCCATTATGTGTGTGTAAACTAGAAAGTTGGATCATGACAAAATGTGTAATTTCTCCTTAGAAGCTCCTTAGAAACTCAGTGTTTAGTTAAAGTGTGTTTCAGGGGTAAAAATCACAGGTGGGAGATGTGTTTGAAAGGACTTGTTCAGGCACCATGACTCCAGACAGTCCAGCTCTAGGGCACTCTGGCATGTCAGTCTTCAGCTTGTACTCCCCCTCCGCCCCCTCCCAACTTCATGGAAATTTCTGACTTCCTATGCATTCAGCCCAAATATCAGGCAATCTTTCCCATGACAACAGCTGGTGAGAGCAATGAAGAAGTAATCGTGAGGTCAACAGTTGAGAATCAGGATTTGGAGATAAACCAGGACTTTATTCCTCTGTGTATGTCAGGATCTGCCTCCTACACACTGTTAACTACAAACAGCGAGCACCCAGATTGTTTGTGTGTAAAGTGTATTTAAATGCCCTACATTGGCAAACTAACTGTATGGCATGAATAGGCTGAAAAGGAAGAGGGAACCACAAATTTGAAGGGGAAAAAACTGCAGGGGGAGAGGAAACTCTTTAAAAAGAAAGTCATTTTGCTTTGTGTGATTCAAAAGAGGAAGGGGATGATGTGAAATGAGACCTGGAAATTTTCCCAGTTGGTTTGCACTGTGCCATTAACCTGCCTGTACCAAAACCACAATTGTATTTTAACAATTTCTTAACTTTCATTTTGAAATAAAGAGAAGAGATAACTCAATCCCACCTTTCTGCCATCAGGAACAAACTGCAACGGATCATTACTTAGAAGCAATAACTTTTCTACCAAACATGGGCTTTTTGGCCGCCTTGACAGCTCTGTGGCGCACAAGTCAGAAATCCAAAACTCTGGATAAAGATCTTTTCAGCAGGCCTCAAAATCCATGTACATTGAAAAGTCCAGAAGACATTGTCAATAAGGCATCCCATGGATGGGAAAACCAAATAGTTCCGTTCTCTGAGTCTTTTAAACAATCAGCCCAAGCTGCGGTGTGAATCCTGCTCCCCCGGATGCTCCCTGGACTTTCAGGGCTCTTTAGAGAGACTGGTTTGTTTATAAATTGTGTTTTTAATTTGTAACAATAATAGTAAAAATGCAGATCACCAGGGTTCAGCTCGCATGCAGCTGGGCCAAGTTCCGTGTTGTGGTTACTGGGACTCTGTTTGAAATAGGAGCTAGAAAGTTCCCTTCCAATCTTTTTCCTGTGTTTCTGGCCCCGATTTTCTTTTTTTTTTAAAGATTGTTTTGTTGTATGAATCTTTTCAACCCTGCAGCATTCTGGAAATGAGAAGCTAAATCAGATTTTGTCCCACAAGCCTGGATGCCCAGAAAAGCAGGTGCTATCTGTCCCCACATAAAGAAAGTGGAATCTGTCTGATCTGATCTGGGAACTCTGGTTTATTCCAATTAGTGGACCATTTATTGTTTATATTGTGATAAATGGTTAGCGGCTTCAGTTGCCATCCCCCCCTCTGTGCCAGGCACTGTATATACATAGAACAGAGAAGGTCTCTGACCCCAGAGAGCTTACAAGTTGTTTCTGCCTCCTGCCCCCAAAGTTAAAGCAATTGTCTCTCTTCTGTTTATTTTGCACACAGGCTCCCTGCCCTATATCAGAAAACCCATTCAGGCACTCAGCAAGGATGGGTACAGCGCAGCAGACTCTACACCAAGCCAATCTAAGATCCCATTTAGAGGCAGCAGTGTTGCTGAAGAGAATCACACAGAGCATTGGTTGCTGTCTCCAGCTAACCTGCAGTGGCCAAAAACTGCTGGCATCCTCTCAGTCTCACCAGACAAAAAGAAGAAAGGCAAGACTTCGCTGGAAAACAACACAGGGCTGCGGAAAGAGCCGCACCAGGATGGCAAGGTCCTGGCTTCTGAGAGCCACATGGAGGGACCTGATTCCTTTGACTTCAACCATGCCAACAGAATGCATGCAGATAGGCTTCAGTCCGAGGCAGCAAACAGCATCTCAGCGCACTTCCCTTATAGAGCATTTTCCCATTATAAAGACAGATCCTTGACGTTAGCTGAGATGCATCCTTTCCAAGACACAGGGGCAGCTGAACCAGAAGATCCCAATATGGTTGATCACCTCAACCGACCTGGAAAGATGAATCCCTACAAACAGCATGACCCTCTAAGAAACATCACCAAGCCTGCCTGGGACACCAACCGCCAGTCATCTAGCCTTCTGTACTACTTCAACGTGCTAAAAAAAGGTGAGGGGGTGCCTCCAGAAGAAGGGACTTTGTGTCCTTTCAGGAGAGCAGCGCTACTTATGTTCACTCCTGAATTCCAGTGGGCATGTTGCGTTAATGCTGCACATCCACAACATGTGTGTCTATTGCAGTTCTAGATGCTGACAGCAAAGAGAAGGTGTGCCTGACAGAATGCAGAAGGGAGAGGGATGAAGCAGAGGCTTTCTGTGGGAGTGAGTTTGGTAAGACTTTTGTTCCTATTGCTTATATTCTCTCTTGCAGGTAGGCATAGCAGAGTCACGTATTGGACCATTCTACTACAGGTTGAACCTCTCTAGTCTGGCACCCTCCGGACCTAACTGGTGCTGAACTTCACTGCTTAGTGGGCTCTTAGAAGACATTTTGAGATGAAGTGGGTTTTGCCCATGAAAGGTCATGGTACCTCTACATATTTTGTTAGTCTTTAAGATGCTACTAGACTATTTAGTGTTTTTAAATTTTGGGATAAGTTAGGGCTAAATAACAGCACAGAACACCAAGAGCCAGGACTGGTGTTTGTAAACACATTTTATGGGTCCTCAGGGAACTTGGCCACAACTATGATAAGTGAACAACTGGCTAACTAAACTTATGCCAGCCCATGGATGTTGCCAGTCCAGACAGTGCTGGATTAGAGAGGTTCAACCTATAACACACAAATTTTAATCTTGCTTGTAAAAGTCTTCCCTGGCTTGTTCCATCCTAAGCTAATACCTGGTTTTAAGGTACCCATCACAGCTGCGTCTATGCATAAATAGCATCAATAGTGTTTCACTTTCTAATCCCCTTTCTGTTGGTCTGGCACTGGCCCTCTTGGTGCCTCCAGTCCGTGTGCATGTCACTGTCAGTGCTAAAGCCATCTCAGGAGCTGTCTGTATGATTCTTCATTTCTTATTAACCCACAACTAAGTGAATACCTGTCTCTCTCTCTCCATCTGTAGCAGTATTGCTTACGTGCCGTGCCATTGCATGATTTACCTACCTCTAAGGAGTTTTGAGCTACCCAGGCATGTTCTCTGCATCCAGGATGCTGCTTTAGCTTTACAGGGCTTCCACCTGCAACAGTCATGCTGCATTAGGTTCTAATGGCCAGATTGCACACCCACAGATGGTAGAAAAAGATAGCATAGATCTGGGTTAATTGCTCTGGAAATTGGAGCACACATTTTTTGAATGGAACTGTCTCTCGTCATCAAAGCAGCAGTGATTAGAGATGGTTTTTCCTCTCAATATTTAAAAGCAGACAGGTAAAATAAATCTTTATTGCCAGTTATTAGGTGTGTCTAGTTCCAGAAAATAAGCATGCTCGGAGCATCTGTTTTGCCTCACTAGAAATTAGCGAGTGTTTTCTACAAATGGAAGCATCCCCTAATATCCTTCTAGTCAAAATCTTAAATCCAGGACCTAGTTCCCTGATTAAGGTGTTGTACCCTCTGCATATTTCATCCTTTAATGATTAACAATTTCATTTATTACTTAAATTGTAAAAAGATGCATGCCTCTTAACCCAGCCTGAACAAACATTAATCTGCATGGTCATGGTTCCCCTAGAGTGATCACAAAAGGGGCTTTACTCATGAATTTACATCAAGAGATTAAAGGTCTAGGGACTGCATCAAAGAGAAGTTTTCACTCCATGAAGCAGGTGTGGCCTTGACCTGTGTCACAGAAGTTTTCTAGTCTTACCTCTCCAGTGACTTTATCACTGTCAGTCTAGAATACGTGCAGGGGATTTTCCAGTCCCTTGGTTAACTCAGCCCAATCCTGAGTCTCTCTTAGGCAGAAGTGGTGTAGCACAGCTCCATGTGGTTTGCTTGATCAGGACTCATGCTACCGTATCAGGCTGTATTGCAAGCACACTTAAATTGGATAGTGTTAGTAATACTGTATAATACTTCAATAAATGTTTCATTTTCTTCCTTTTAAATGAATATTCAACCCCACCCTTATCCCCACTGTTTCCAACCTCGCTGTTATCCAACAATACATAAGACTCAACTTTGAAGTATTTTATACACTTTTAAGACTTTTAAATCACTGCCACATTGATTGATTTAGAGCCTCCACATGTATCATGAGTTGAGTATCAGTGTTTCACTAGCAAGTGTAACAAGTGATGATTGTTCCTCTCTCTCTTCTTAAAACAGCAGTGAATGGGATTGTTCACGATGTGGAAACACTAGGGAAAGGAATCCGGCTGGTTACGCTCTTGGTAAATAGCGATGGATTATACAAGATGAGTCGCCTGTATATCGCCCCTGATGGCTTCTTCTTCCGAGTTCACATTCTCATCGTGGATGCTTTAAACTGCAGCAAACCATGTCCAGATTTTAAACTTGGTAATGAATCCCAGCTAAAGTCAGTCTGTTTCTCTTTTAGGTGTTTTGGGATTTCACTTAGCCCAGGTTGAACTGGGGTTCATGGGATCTTTTGGGCAAAAGAAACTGACTCACTTAGGAGCAGGGGAAACAAAGTGTTTTCTTTGTTTTCCCCATATTTACAAAAGAAGCCCAACAGTCTGCAAGGCAGAACGGTTAGCCATTCAATCCCCCAGCAACAAGCAGACCTGTCTTCTTTTAGCCAACACCTAAAAGTCAAGGTGCTGGCTGACAGGAGTTTGCATGACCAGTTCCAGTTTTTGACCATTTGTTGGTTTATTAATAATTTGAATTTTGCTACTTCAATTACATTTAGTTTTATCTCAGTTTATTTTAAAAGAAAACATGAACAATCTCCAAAAATCAAACTGGAACAGGCTTTTATCTAAAATGAAACAAGCCAAGGAAATTAAACAAAAATAAGCCAGCACAGTAAGTGATTTTTATCTTGCAGGAAGTAGATACATTGTGATGGGTCAGATCTACCACAAGAGACGGCAGCTGCCTGCACCTCTGCTGCAGTTCCTGCGAGGACGTCTACGGCCAGGAGATGGGCTGCTAAGGAGCAGCAGCAACTATGTAAAAAGATTCAACAGGAAGAGGGATCGAAAAGTACAAGGGGCAGCCCACACCAAGTGTAGATGAGGCTACAGTGCTAACAGCTTTACTGGGGCTTAAGCAGCACTGGCACTTCAGCTACCAGAACAAAACTGGTCTCTACTTGGAGTCTGATCTTCCTTCCATAATAAGGATTCTTTTAGAGTGACTGCAGCTCAGCTCTTGCTTAATTCTGTCTCCAGTAACGATAAGCAGCTGGTGTCTCATATGGCTAATAAAAAAAAGGTTTATTTTAAATGTTTTGATTATATATAGCATGCAAAAAGAAAAAAAAACCACAGTCTAGATATCCAGTCTATTCAATGTCTAACAAACATTAACTGGTTAATGAATTTCCTTTTACATGTGGTTTCAAAATAGTCAGCTATTCTTTTTGTAATACACAATTTAAATCTTCAAGTTTGGGAAAATAAACCTACTGATTATTTTTAGGGCTAAATTCTTTTGTAAGTACCTCTTCCGTACATCAGGAATGACTGAAGATCTGTTGTGTCTCATTGCTTTACTATTCAAAACCATACATTTACTGGTATTAAAGTTCTCAGTGCAATGGAGATTTAAAAAAAGAGCATTCAAACCCTTAATTTTTAACATGTCTCATGATCATTTGTAGCTCAAAGGCTGCACAGCATAAATATGTAGACTTTTCTGAATCAGTATCAAAGGAGTAAAGAACATAATACTGTTCTTTAACATGGAAACTATAGAGACAATATATAATTATACATTCAGATATATAATTATACTACATATATAATCAAACATAAGGGACCAGATTTTTCTTGTAATTTAGAAACATGTTCAAAATATGTATTCCACAGCACATCTTATTTGAGCTTACATGCATGTTTTGTAGGTTTTACAGATTCCAAAACTGGAAGGCACAATTGTGATCATTCAATCTGACTTCCTATATAACACATGCTCTATATAGACCTTTGCAAAAATTAAATAAATATATACTGACAGCTTTTTAAAAAACATTCCATCTTGATTCTAAACTTGTCAAGTGATAGAGAATCCGCCATGACCCTTGGTAAATTGGTCCACTGTTTAATTACACTGTTAAAAATTTACGCTTTATTTCATTAATTGAATACAAATCATGCACTAACAGCCAATTAGTGTGTGTACAGCTACCTATTTGCACATACAAACTGTGGTACCGAGGTATGCAAATCAGTCATCCACTGGCATACACATTTTGCATGCCTAATTACACTCCTAGAGTGGATATTTAACCCTGAAACTATTGTCTTTGGTGTAATTTTTCTATGAAGACAACTGTATGAGGATTGTAGCTGCAAAACAGTAAAGCTTCCTCTTTGGAATCGGTTCTATGTTGGACGTGTGTTTTGTTTTGTTTGTTTGTTTTACTGTTTGAGTCCTAGTGAGACAAATATTTTTGTATATTTAGTTCCTTGTAGGAAATGCTGGTATGAAATATTCCTAAATAGCCCCCTGCGGCTTTCAATTCTTTCAAATCCAGCTTTTGAACCTTTTCATCAGTTTTAACCAGCTCTACGCTGTTGGCAGAAACTTAAGTTCAGGAAAAGATCCAGTTAACATTTTTTAAAAAACAAGTAAAAAAAAAACAACTTGGCTTAGCTAGTAATAAAAAAGTTATTTTAAAACAGTTTGTGGGACCCTGATTCCCTTACCAGAGGGGAAAAATAGGTGTCTTTTCAATAGCAGTAAAATCTTTTGCTGTTATCAAAATGTGTTCCCAAAGGTGGGCTAGAAGCTTCTCAGCACTGATTTATGAGTCCAAAATTCATATTAAGTCAGTGAAATTTCATTTACAATGGGAATCTCCCATCCTCGGTCCCACCTGTGATGTGTCACTATTACAACAGATTAAATATAGGAGACTGCTTAAAAACATTTCAGAGAAGGAACTCTGGTCAGGATAAGAAGAAACCAAGCAAAGACTAGCACCAACATGGATAACAGAGGACTGGGACTGTGGGCACAGGCAAATCCAATAGAAGCAGCTAGTAGTTTGGTTTTCAGAGTGAACTATAGAAGTTAAAATGAATTCAAACTCCCCCCAGTATATGGGGAGGAAGATACCACACTATAAGTATCTTTTCATTTCTGAGGCAAAGCTACACAAAGATGAACTAAATTTGCCCCTCATATACAAGCAGCCAAACTTGTGTTAGCTTCAAGATGCTGCAGAGCTGGAATGGGGGAAGAAGTCACAGAGGCAAATAATCTTAATTTTTGTATGAATCTGTCCAGCCAGGAGAGCTTTGTAGAATTCAAGTTTGGAACCACTGACTTTTGAATCTGCTGTATATCTACACTGTAAGGCTACGTCTACACTGCTGGCTTCTTGCACAAGAAGCTTTTTGTGGAAGAGCTATTCTGCAAAAACTTATTGTGCAAGAGCGCATCCACACTGCAAAAGCGCATCAAAAAAGCAATGCACTTTTGTGCAAGAGAGCATCCAGACTGCATGGATACACTCTCGAAAGGAAACTGATTGCTATTTACAGAATGGCCACCAGGTACCTGTGCTTTTTTCAATTGCCTCTTTGTGCAAAAAACCTGTTCCCTGTCCCCACACACCTTTTTGCACAGGAGCGCTTGCACAACAAAGGAGTTATTCCTCATAGAAGGAAGAATACCCAACTGGAAAAATCCCTCTGTTCATTTTACTTGCACAAAAACATGTTTGAGATGTGAATGCTCTGCGAGTTTTTGCGAAAAAAAGGCTGTTTTGGGGCAAAAACTCTGTAGTGTAGACTTAGCCTCGGGGTACGTCTATACTGCAGGACAAAGTCGAGTTAAGAGATACAACTTCAGCTACGTTAATTGCGTCACTGAAGTCGAAATAGCTTAACTCAGCTTTTGGTGATGTCTACGCAGTAGGAAGTCGAAGGAAAAACAATCTTCCTCCAATTTCCCCCACTCCTCATGAAATGAGGGTTACAAGAGTTGGAGTAAGAAGCCCATTATTTTGAAATAATGGGCTTGTTGTGTAGACTTGAACTGTTATTTTAAAGTAACAAGTTATTTCGAAATAAGTGTGCCGTGTAGACATAGCGTGAGAGTGAAGTACATTTTTTAAAAGGCTGCTGAAGCAAAGGACTATCAGTGAAATGGCACACCTACATCACTATGCATCATGGCAGAGTACACTTAAGGGGCATGTATACTGTACCCATAGCTTGAAATAAGCTACATAATTTGAGCTACAGCTTATTCTGAGTATTTCTAAAGTGTGCTATTCTGAAACGTCCCTTACTCCTCATGGAACGAGGTTTGCAAGCCCATTATTTCAAAAGCTATTTTGAAATAATGGGTTTGTTTAAAAAGACGTGGAATAGCTATTTTGGGATACTGGAAGTATCCCAAAATAGCGCCGCTGTCTAGATGCACCCTAAGTGATCTAGCTAAAGATGCAAAAGACATTAGAGATCCATTTATTTTCTTTTACCAGAAGACTATTCAGAAACCAAAACAGTAGGCGCAGGCAAGCAAGGTGACATTGATAGAGCAGCAAAAGTACCTTCTCAGAATTGTTCTCATGTGATTTATTTCTTGACATGCAATAGGCTTAAAGTACTGACTGCAAACACTGCTACCACTTCTGAAACTATATATTCTTGCTGTACGTCAGCTTTTGTTTGCATTGTCAACAAGGAGAAAAGTGAAGGACCGGCTTATTGGGCTGCTAGCTTTGAGATCCGGAGGAGGTTTATCATGGAATTGAGGTACTCCCAGAGATGATTGCTCCCTGACAACCAGTTGCTTGAATCTACCCAAAAAAGGTCACAGTGCCTTCTTACTACTTTTATTATGCTACTTTTGTTAAGGGAAAGAACAGAGTTGAGCGAGCATGGAGAATGGCACATTTACAATTGAGATGGCAGTTGAAATTTTCCCAAGAAAATTTTAATGAGGGGCTTTAACTTTGGCAGAATCAGACTGTTCCTGGCTCGAATGCCTCAATTTTCTTTTTGTTGTCCATTTAGAACCAATGTTTTTGAGTACTGATCTATGATGCCTGGCTTTCCATTTACCCAGATTCAACAATGCACATTTCCCCCACTGCCTTCAGCCATGACACTGAACAGTGATCTGAAGCAGACACCAAGAGTAGTGGGTAAAGGAGGGTAGCTCCGTTGCCCTAGCTCATTTAATCCCTGATGTCTCCAATGAGACAAATAAGGAAATCAATGGTGGTGATGGACAGGAGTTAGAGCAAGACCACCAGCTTAGCCGAAGCCAACTACATTTGACCACCACTAGATGAAACCACTACTCTTGAATAATATTCCATCTGGAAAGTTAAACAGCTAGGGAAATTATTATAGAATCATCGAATACAAGAACTAGAAACAACCACAAGAGGACAGTAAGTCCAGTCCCCTGCTCTCATGACAAGAATAAGCACCATTTAGATCACCCGACAAGTGTTTATCTAATGTGCTCTTAAAAATCTCCAATGATGGAGATTCCACTGCCTCCTTTGGCAATTAATTCCAGTGCTTAACCACCTTGATTAGTAGTTTTTCCTAATGTCCAACCTAAACCTCCCTTGCTGCAATTTAAGCCCATTGCTTGTCATAGCAGCAGCAGCAGCTATACGAAGAATAATTTTTCTCCCTCCTCCTTGTAACAACCTTTTGGGTACTTGAAAGCTATTATATCCCCTCTTAGTCTTCTCTTTTTCAGACTAAACAAACCCAGTACTCTCAATGTTACCTCATAGGTCATGTTTTCTAGATCTCTAATCTTTTTTTTGTGTGGCTCTTTTCTGGACTTTCCCCAATTTGTCTACATCTTTCCTGAAGCATGGTATCCAGAATACAATACTCCAGTCGAGGCCTAATCAGCACAGAATACAATGGAAGAATTGTTTCTCATGACCTGCTTACACCATTCCTATTAATGTATCCCAGTGATTTTTTTTTTGCAACTTTGTCACACTGTTGACTCATCTATAGCTTGTGGTCCACTATGACTACTAGATCACAATAGCAGCATTTTATTTGGGCCCAACTCTTACTTGGTATACATCTACTTTTTCATTTGACTACACGAACTATCCCATTACCACGTTACTGAAAGTGGGACAAGCAGCATGATTTTTCCTTTTGCATCACAAAAATCTTACCTTTCTTCAGGAAGAGGTAAAGTGTTATTCAGTGTGCAATATAGTATGTTAAGTAGTAACAGTTCAGTGTGTTTCGTTGTCTAAGACAGGTGCGGGGAACCATGTGTGTGTCAGGGGCCACCCACCCAGAGAAAAATCAGTCAGGGGCCCCCCACAAGTGAGAAGCAAAAACCAAAAACGAATCCTCATTGATGTGGCTCCTGACTGAGGAGAAAGACAGTCCCCACATTCGCCCCATACACCAGAGCCTAGGGGGGCCCAGCCTAAAAGATTTTCTGTGCTCCAGCCTCACAGTGAGGTAGCAGGGGGGCTGGAGCACCAAGTGTGGGCTTCCCAATGCTGAGGGGGCAACCATGAGCCCTGTCTATGACAAACATTTAACTCTATTATTTTCAAACTTTTTAACTGGTGGCTTTCAAAAATATATGCAGACATCACATACTGCAGAAACAGGTTTATAGATCATTTGGATTGCTCTCTCAGATTCTGAAGAAGATCGCACTTTTAAAAGCCATACCTGATTTTGTTTTTAAAAGAGACCATTAGTTACAATACTTGTCTTACAAGCTGAAGTGGGGAAATGGCAAAGTAACTCTTCCAAATTGCAATAGATTATTTAATGTAGGGAAGGAAGGGAAATAAAAAAAAAGTGAGAATTTCTTTGTGTCTTCCCTAAAGATCAAAACATTTCATACTCTTACATTTGGCAATCCTTAGCCAGTACAAGGCCAGACTACTAAGCATATAGAAAATATATGGTAATATGTTCATGTGCAACAGAAAACCAGTCTATAGCACAGCTAGCTTTTCCATACTTTGAGTCAATTTTGCTTTACACAGATTTTAATGATGAAATTATTAAAAATTGTATTTCTCTTACAATTTGTGTGGTGCTGAGACAGCAAACGAACTACATGCATTAGGCTACAAATTTATCTTCATTAAAGGGACACTGTCAAATTTAGGTTGTAAATTAACTGAAGAAGTGCCTCCCCCAATCTTAACGGTATATTCCAACAAGCAGTGAAAAGGCTAGTGCTCTGAGTTAAGCAGGCAGATCTGTGTGCAACAGTACCTCAGCAAGGATGGTAACACATAGATAGAAGTAAACAAATTATAACCGCATCCACTACTAAACAGATTAAAGGTTAGACAACAAAAAGGACAAATCTGGCAGGGATGTTTATTTTTAAACTTGTATGTTATATTACAAACAATCAAGAGCAAAAAGATTTTAAATGTTGGTAGATGACAGTGTCCCTTTAGAATGTATGTGCCAAATTTTATAGGTCTCTTACTTTCGCAGTTAATTTTCTTCTGTTTCTTTTTTCAGCCAATTAACTGATATACTGAGCATGTGAAACACTGCGGTCTCTCCAGTGATTTACACAGCTCCCTACCACATTTTGAGGATTAAAAAAACCTAAACTAAATCCTACACAAGTACATCTATTCAAGTTAGTCTGAGGGAGTCTGAGGATAACATAAAGGAAAAAATCCTCAACTTGGTTTAATCTGTGTCACCAAAACCCAAGTTAAAATATACCGTATTTTCCGGCGTATAAGGCTACTGGGCGTATAAGACGACCCCCTAATATTTTAGCTAAAAGATAGGGTTTCGTCTTATACCCCAGCGCCCCTCCGCCTCCCGGGCTTTGCTCCCGGTGTCCCTGGTCTGCTGGAGACGGTCCCCAGCAGACCAGGGACACCAGGAGCAAAGCCTCTGAGGATGCCCCGGCAGCGGGACAGCCCCGGCGCGCCTGGGCTGCCCCACCGCCAGCTTCCCCCGAGGCTTTGCAAAGCCGCAAAGCTGTATACCCGGCGTATAAGACGACCCCCGATTTTTAGGGGATGTTTTTTAACATCAAAAGTCGTCTTATACGCCGGAATATACGGTAATTCAATATCAGACACTTGAAAATGTACGTGGCAATAATAGAGATATTAAAAGGAAATAAGTTCACTGGAACAAAACAGGTTTTAAGAGTTATGAATTCTCATGCTTTAAGTATGATTTTTGAAATACATGCACAGGAATACTTTATTGCAAGATTTGTTCTCTCTTTTTTAATATATCTTTTTTTAAAAAAAGACAAAACCCACAAAAATATTATAGCTAATAAAGCTAGAAAATATCTCCATTGATTTCCTGGCAACAGAAAAACTGAAAAGATGTCAGATATGAAAATGTACATAAGATATTAACATTTCCCTAGTAGCAGAATGATTGTAAGACAAATTCCTAAGAAGATATATAAAATTTATCACTGCCAAGAGCTATAGAATCAACCAGTGTTTCATTAGAAACTCCACCAAATCTGATGTCAAACACATTACTTTATTTGTCTAGGATGAAATGTCCTATTACGTACAAAAAGTACTTTTCAGTTTGCCACAACTGTTAAAAACATAGCAATCTATTGGCTACAGGTAAGAAAGTTCTTTTCGCATTAAGTTTCAAATGACATATATATTTATATATGAATAAATAGTACAGAAATACTGTGATGTTGTCAAGAGATGCAAAATATTTTCAGAACTCATCAAATTGAGAATTTTCCTTCTTGCATCAAACACAATGCATACAATATGTAGCATTTCTTTTAAGAAGTCAAAGGACAACATAACCTAAATGCAACCACTCTTCTCAATCTTTTAAGAAGCATAAACTGATTTGGTTTTCACATTAAACAATTAATTTTTAGTTTTCACATATAGGTTAAATGACAATATCTGTACAAAAATGTATGGGTTTTATTAGATAAAATTAACCCAGAAGAACCTGTACACCTGAGCATGTAATTGTAAGAAAACTGTGGTCAGTAGCAATGTTTTACTTCTAAGAAATTAACAGGAAAGGTTCTTGCATAGCAGGGTAAGGTTAAACCCAAGGGAAGCTTATCCATAAACCAGATAAATCCCAGATCACTGTAGGACAAAGCTAAATTGTGAATTAGTGCAAAATCTAGCAAAATGGTTGTAGAGCTGCATAAACCAGCTTGGCTGATTTTACTGGAGGCAGTTAATACAACAAAGTCAGTTACATAAGCAATGTGCAAGTGATAGATCAGAGAGAGGAGAAGGAAAAAAAGTCTGCAAGTCACATCTTCCTCTGTTGGCTTCCATTTATCCCTCATGCTAGCTTTCCTTTTATAGGAAGAGACAAAACCACTGAGAATGCCCTTCAGAGAAATAATTACAAACATGTGGTTCATCATTCTTGGATGATATTTTGCCTTCTACTTTCTAATTCAGAAGTGGGCAATGAAATTTCCCAATACTGCCTTTATTATCTGATGCAGCAATTATGGCACCACAGTGGAATTATTTTTAAAGGGATAGTAGTTGCTTAATGAAAAGAAAGAAACGCTACCCTTTGTAGCATAAAGTCATATTCCCCTTTCTACTTTTCTTACCTTTTCCTCCCCCAACTACACGGGATACTTCCACTTCAGAACAGATTCCCTCCCTCCCTCCCCAAATAAAAACACTTTACAAACATATTAGCGCACATTCAAAGACACCTACATCTGTGGGGAGAAAAATTATCTCCATTTATTTTTTTCATTATACATCCATGTTTTGAATTTTAATACAAAAAGAAAAAAATTAGAATCTGACAAATGTTTACAAACAAGATACCTTCAAATAGATTTTACTCATTTCAGTCTGGTGCAGAGTAAATGACAAACTGTAGTTATATTCAAGGCAACAGAGTCTGTAGTCTGTGACCACTTAGCCCAACCTTTATGCAAGCTTAATTGTTTTTATCTACCATGAATGATAAACTCATTGTTGATTCCCAGTTTTTTTGTGTGTGTGTGTGCACATGTGTACATAGCAGCTCCTTTCATAGAAAGAAAAGACATCTAGAGGTCTTCTTGTACTTTTACCTACAGGAATCATGTTAAGATACAGAATGGATTACATGTAACCGGGGCCGGATTTTATAAGAAAAAATAATTAGCTGACAAATGAGGGCAGCAATAAAAAAGCGTCTTTTTTGCAACAATAAATAAATACAGTCAAAGTTTTCTGTGTGGACTTTAAACCAGCTTCTTCACTGAAGAACAGACGTGGCATTTCCATGGAGTTAAACTTGACCCCATTTACTGTATCTTTTTTCTTGCTTGCTCGCTCTCTCTCCAACAAAACAAAGTTTTCTCACTTCTGCCACAATAGTACAACAATTTGATCTTGACAAGAAAGTGGTGCTGCTGATTTTTATTCCTTTGTCCTTTGGACAAAATAAGCCAAGAATATAATTTGACTGCTGTGACCAATAAAAACACAGTTTACATCAAGTCTTGTCAGGATAACCTGACTAAAAACCATCTGGCTTCTTAATTAAAAATTTTCAGACAACCAGATTCTTGCTGTGTGTGTGTTAGGTTAACACGCTGAACTCTAAGAAGCTGTAGACTGCAGTTTGTTGTTATGAGACCTGCAGAATACAGAAAAAAGTGAACAATTAAGCACCCTTCATTTTTGAGAACGCTGTTTCTTTAAGAGGATGCCGAGGGTCAATCAATGGGAGGGGAATGCAGCCATGTTGTGTCTGTTCATCTTTTGCAAACAAACACCATTTAAAACAAGCAGTTCTGAGCTTTACAGAAGTTTTCAGCTACAGTATTAAAAATTCCACGGTGTACAAAACATGATGCTTCAACTAAACTACCCAAAAATGCCCAAAATAAAGTTTTACTAATCAAGACACACAACAGTATTCTGTAATAGGGAAAGCATAAAGACAATTCATAAGTTATATTTCACATATTTTACCAAAAGTATTATCTAAGGTACATTGATTTGGGAAATCTTTGGATAAATGTTTAAATGTAAAACATCTGGATAGTAAAAGAAATTAATACATTTTTGCTAATCAGAGTTCAGCGAATCCCCTTTCTAAACTTCAGTTTTATTGGTGACCTCAAATTAATTAAAATACATAGTTTCCAAAACTCAATTATTTGACTTTGTTTAAATACAGAACTGACAGTTTCTTAATACATTTTTATTTACCAACATGGCCGCTGGCAAATATTGGTTTTGCATTTTAAAAAGAACATTTAATATTTGGACATTGATCTGGATTTTTAAGGCAGTTTAATGTCATAGTACTGTACAATAAAAGAAAGAGTGACCCCAACATCCAGTTCTGATTCCAGTTAAAAAGGTCAGACTAAAGATATCACAATCTGCAAGAAAAGAAAGAACATGGATGATGTAAATGAAGAAGCACAAAAATAAGATGCAGCAATGAAAATTAGTGTGCAAACAATGAATATTGGATAACCAAATATGACAGGATGAAAGAAGCATGAGCAAGTAATGGCCTGATAAAAGCAAGTATCAAGGAATTAAATTAAGAGTGTAAACACATGATTGCTTCAGCTGGCCACATCTGCACATCCCCTCAGACCTGCCTTTTTACCATTTGGAAAATTCGCAACTTCCACAAAGATGGATGCAACTTCTGATAGAGTTAGTCTACAATGCAATTTCTAACAGAGTTAATTGCAAATAGATTTTAATCCTGAACTGATCCAAGTCTATCAGAATTCAGATGTAATGGTCATGTTGAGGAATGTACCAGCAGAATGTTCATAAACAGAATTCTGATTAAACTTTAATGAAATTCAGCTTTAAGTCTTTGTGGTTTATTTTTGGATTACAAATATGCAATGATACACTAGCATTAAAGGGTAAACTCATGTCAACCTGAACTATATCAGTACTACCCCACTTACAACTCCAATGGCTTCATATAAGTACAAGGTCCTATGCATTATACATAAAGGCATGTGGATTATAACCTGAAATGGAGCTGGCAAGCCATATAGTTCATGTTAAGTAAAGTGCATGTTATTTTTTGGAACAAGGTTCCAAGAGGGAATATACTCTACTAATCTTTTCCTGAAGAAAAGTTGCTTAAAGCTAAGTTTCTGAGTTTTATTTTTTAAACTATTAATCTCAGTGTTCATGTTTTATATTTCAATTGCACACTGAATTGCTTACAATGAGGGCGAACAGGGTATCTAAATAATACAAAGAAACAGGAAAAGATGGATGTTTACTAGGTCAGGGCAAGGAACTGTTTATTTTTGCATACATTTGCATTTTCCTTAGATTGTAAGCTCTTTGGAGTAAGGAGCATCTTTCCTTCAATGTTTGGACAGGACCTGACTCTAGTACCATAGTAAGTAGCTAATAACAAATTCACAACAAAAGCTGGTCCTCTTGATTTGGTTTTCACAGTACTGTTCAATTTCTTTCTAATAATAATATATATTGATACATAATTAATATTTTAAAACAAAAATTATAAAAATACTGAAGTGGGATAGATTCAGGGCCTAAGTTTGACAAAAATCCAAAGCTGGAATGTATTGACTTTAGAGTCTTCTCTTAAAAAAAAAAAAAAAAAAAATCTAGCTATAGTGGCAACATGTGGGAAGAGGCAGACCTTTAGATGAGCGCAGTAAGAAAAGCTTAGGGTAGTACAAAGATTTTCTAAAACAAAGGTAGGTTACAGGGAAACAGAGATTATCAATATGGGGAACACTTTGCCTTACCTGCTTGCCTTGAATCCTTTTAGCTTCTGTACAAAGAAAGATTCAAGAACCTCTGCACATTGGTAAAAAGGGGAGTCACTTGGATTGTAGTAACGACAGTTATCAAAAATTTTGGTCATATCTGCCACAAACTCGGTCACCTTTTTGTAGTAACGTTTCAGTATTCTCTCTTCCATGGTAGCAAGGTCTAAAAAGAAAAAAAGAAAAAAAGAAAAAAAAAACACACACACACCAATGCATACCTGTTATCTAAAATGAAACATCTTTAGTCTTCCAGAAAGAAGTTCATTTGTATTGTCATTCATTATAACAAAAGCACAACTGGCCTGGCTACATTTTCTGCTATATTGCTTGTGACATCATGCCAGCCGAAGAGGGTCTCATTTAGAATGTGTTTCCTCCCACATGAATTTGTGTGTAATTTACACATTTTAGTTACAGCAACTCAAGTGTTTGGACCAGGCTCCTGCATTAGGAAGGCAGGATAAGGGATCTCCCAAAGGCGGGAGGGGGGTAGACCCTGGAGTGGCCCAGGGCAGTGCCTCTCAGCCCCTAGGGGTACTCAAGAGAAGTCTGGGGGTACATCAACACAACTGAAATTTGGAGAAAACTTAATTTTTGTTTTAAGTTTTACAGTATTTGTATTATTGGGAGAGTGACACACAGCAAGTTCAGGGTGGGGAAATGAAAGAATGCAAGGAACTCCTGGTGTGTGCAATACGATCATTTTACATAAGTTACAAAGTGTGTGACTCCCTAGTTAAAAATGAAGGGAAAAGAATTGAAAAGCAAACAAAATGGTATATACATTTCAACTAAATAAGCATCCCTCTTAACTTGGCTGAGAAAAAGAACAAAGGATTCACCTGCCTCAAAAAAATTCCTTCTAAGTGCTTATTTTGTAATCCCACCACCAAGTGTCAAAACATTTGTGAACATGGACAAACTTTGATGTAGATTACCCATCCGTAACAGGTGGTCTTCTTTCCAGTGACAGGGAGAATGTGCTAAGTGTAACCTGATATACTGCAAATTCAATTATATTATCACTTGGTCTAAGTCACTTTAACTCACAACAGAAAAATAGTGTTTTGTAAAACATATAGCCAGCTCTTTTCTATGAACTTTGAAGAAATTCGTGTGACCAAATTCCAATTTTTTCCCACATAACAGAATTAACATCCTTATTTTTGTGGAAAGTACAAAGAGGTCAAGTTTTGTGTGACCACCCAGAAGTCAAACGTCAGCAGCAAGCATTCTGACTGCTAGAACTATGAAGGGGCACTGGTTCAATAGGGACTTTGTAGGAAGAGGGGCACAAAAATGTGCAACATTTCTTGCAGCAGCTGGGTTTTCCTTAGAGGTCTTACATCCAAGTCCTGATGCAGCCCACCACTGCTTTGCCCTTGAGACTGAGTAAAATGACAGCTGCCGCAGTATGACCGTAGATTATTATATAGCTACAGTATCTTCCTGAAAAGGATTTTCTTCCTTTTCAAGGACCCTTTCAGTATAGTCCAGTGGCCACCAACCAGTGGATCAGGATCTACTGGTAGATTCTGGAGCCTCTGACAGGTGATCCTGGACTGGTTTTGCCAAGAGGCTTTCAAATGCCGACTCTTCAGTTGCCGCTCTCCTCCCCCCCCCCCCACACACTGCTGCGGTATCTCCTGCCCTTTGCCTTGGAAGCTGCCCCCTCCGCCCACAGGACCCTCCTGCTTGCTGTGCAGAACAGAGAAAGGAGAGAAGGGTGCTGATGTCAGTGTGCCCACCCTGTATTCTGTCTCCACAGAAAGGATGGGAGTGGGGCACAACAGGGCTTGGGATGGAGGGAGTTTGCTGGCTGCTTTTGAGAGTGGTGCAGGGCCTTAGCCCCATTGCATCGCCACCTACGAGCCATCTGAGATAAGCCTTATCTAGCTGGCGACAGCTGCAAACCCCTGCCCCAGTAATGAACCCCCTCTCACGCTCCAAACCCCTGCCCTAGTTCTGAGCCCCTTGGACCCAAACTCCCTCACAGAGCCTGCACCCCCTCCTGCATCCCAACTGTCTGCCCCCAGAACCCCACTACCACTCCAAATCTCTTAGCCCAAGACCAGAGCCTGTGTCCCAACCCTCTGCCCTTGCCTGGTGAGGAGGGGAAAATAGGGAAGACAGTGAGCAGGGGCAGGGCCTCAGAGAAGGAAGTGGGGGGAAAAGGTATTTGGATCGGAAGTAGGTCTTGGATTGCACTTAAATTCAGAAAGTGATTATTGTGTTTAAAAAGGTTGGAGACCACTGGTCTAATCAAAGATAATGAAGATTGCTTTGCATCTTTCCATCCTATTTACATAAGTTATTAATGCAACTACATCATCAATTCACTAAAAACTTTTTCCTCAACAATCACTAGAGCACATACTTCTCTCACTTGGGGGGGTGGAAAGTATAAGGTATAGTGGTATAACTCACTCAGTTTGAAAGTTAATACAGAAGAACAGAAAAGCTCAGAAAAAATACTTTTGTAAGTCTGATAAACCAATTGGAACTTCATTTTGTATATTAGGAAAGATGGACTTATGAGCATAACTGAAAGCCAAAGTATAGGTTTCCATTTTAGTTCTGTGTCAGACTTGTGCGCCAATAGGCAAGTCACCATCTCGGTCTTCTTTTACCCACATTCATAATGAGAGTATATGGATAAAGCACCAAAGATCCACGGATGAAGCCATTCAATATATGCACATTTTTAATCCATATTAATTAATAATCAACATGCAGCCAATTATACTACTAACTGGAAATCCACTTACCCATAGGCTCTTTGATAACACCATAATAATCTGGTGCATCATTCGGATCTACTGGTTCTAGGAACGGCCATGCCATTTTGTGAGCCTATCAAGAAAATGAGGCATGATCAGTTTCAGAAGTAAATATTACAAACATGTTCAAATTAAGTAGGGTTTGATAACTATTTAGCTAATTATATATTGTTAGAATTTTGCACTTGATTTTAATTTCAGCAACAATTAAAGTGTTATTTGCTGATCTCTCTAGTTCAAGCAGATGATTACACTTTTTAGAATACAATCTGGCATGATGAGCAGCTTGTCCTCACAAGGAGAGGCATACTAGAATTGAGACACTGCATACAGCCAACTTCACCCAATATTCCTGACGAAGCTTACTTTCAATTCAATGGAAGCCGAAGGGACTGCATACCTCACAAAGCTGGGCCATTAGTGTTTTTCACTTTTATTAAATCTACAAGTAACTTGTTGCCATAAATGCCCATTAAAACCTCTCAAATAAAAGAACCAATATTTTGATGGACATTAAATAAGGCACGAACCTGGTCTTCTTTTAATACATGGGATTACTTCTAGCTGATTGCAATTTAAACATTCCTTTGCAGACATGTGGGATGATATTTACACTAGCAAATGTGTTATAACTGGACCAAAACTTTTCATTTTCTGAAACAAATCTTCTGGAGGTGATCTTGTGCTAAATATTTTTTCATCTTTAAAAAAAGTCAGCCTTGAAATTTAGCAGAAGTGTATATAATTTCAAACTGGTAATCATACAGACTAAGCAGTGAACACAATTTAGGTTGAAAACTTCCATTTCCTACCCAAAACTCAACTCTGTGCTCCATATTCTGACGAAATCTTCTTCCTTCATGCTCAACAAAGATAATCATTTATAAAAACATAAAACAGAATACACTCCAGACCTTGGGAGCAGTGATTTACTTTCAGGCCACTATCAATGTTACTCAATGTGACAATGATACTAGAGAAGATTGTGGCCAACACACTGTCACCTCTCACAGAAAAGGAATCTTCTTGTATCTCTTAAAATCATGATCTCTAACAAATCGGAGAAGTGGAGATCCAACATTATTCCCCCCAAAAAACACCTCTTGGATGAACTTCTACCATACCTGTACTTTCCACTACCACAGTATGGTTTATCCTCACCTGCAAGGAACGTAGTACTCTTCGTAATCCCTCATAATCTTTATCAGTCAGTGGACTGAGTACTGTCATGGCATCTTCTGTAGACTGACACTGTGGACAGACATACTCATCAATGAGATCTGCCTCACTTTGCAAAATACCAACACAGCGCCCATGATACCAGTTCTGACATCTGTCACAGCCAATATAAAATCTGCAAGATTTGAAAGAAAAATCAGTAACATTATCCTTGTCATTTAAAACAGAAGATATATAAAAAAAAACCTCATTGTTAATAATTTTTACTCTGTTCTGCATGATGTAAAAATTTTATATTTAAAAGAGACATTTCAGCTTTACATATGCTAATTTAAACCATCCATGCTAATTTAACATTTACAAACAATAACTAAATTACCTGAAAGTTTTATTTCATAATCATTAATAGTGCCTAAAATTAGAGAATTAATTTCAAGGAAACAAGGTTTTGAAAGTTCGTTATCAGTTTAAAAGTTGAAAGTACCAGTGTGATGCCAGAAATTTCATTCGACCAATGATTCAAGGAACATTTTATACATGTAAACAAGACTACTTTCAAGGATTTCAATTTCACCCTATTCAAACAGTTTTCATACGCAAGCCAAAGTCTTGTTGTTGAATATAAAAGGGGTATTCAGGGGACAAAAAGCCTTATAAAAGTAAAGATACCACCCAAATACCCCATACTCAAAGTGAATTTTCTATCTAATCTAAATCAAACATGAAACTAATTTCAAGCACACAAGTCCCAACTAATACTCAATTTTGTTTTAACCTTTCCAGCTATTCCTTGTTAAAATTAATCCCAATTTAAAATTCGTTTTATTTAAATAACATTGAGGCCACCTTGAGGACTCCACTTTTCCTATATATCCAAAATATTCACTTGAAAGCAACATTTGGGAAAGAGAAATATTGAAAAGGAATTTGTAATACCATACAATATATGCAGATTTTTTTTCTTTTTAAGGAACACGTAACCAAAGTCAGAGCAGTTTGCTACCTAAATATTAAATAAGAGGTTCTTATCAGAACTCACTGTGACTCATCATAAGGTGTTCTGCAGATACAGTACAATTCCTCACTGCTGCCCTCTTGTGCCCGTTTACAATCATTACAGATGTACACATCCATTTTCTTAGCCTCCTTTTCTGTGATGCCAACACATTCTCCATGATACCAGTTAGTACAAAGATCACAGCCAATATAGAACCTAAAAGTGTTCACAATGAAAATGACAATGTAATTGTCATTTCAAATGGCATGGCACTTTCCCCTGCATTTCTGTTTCTGACACTTTCTTGCTTGCCTACTTTCTGCAATTTTCTGACTCAGTTTCCCTGTCCTCTACCACTGTATCCTTGCAAAGCCTACCTCTGACACCGCAGCTGCACTGTAAATAAGGTCACTAGCATCAATCTGGATATAGACAGTTTAGTAAATGTGGGTCAACCAATATCAACAAGTTTTTGAAAAAACTGGACTGAAAATGTGTATCTCCTATATGAATGCATATGTGAAAAACTGTAAAAGGCACAAAAAGACAAGGCCAAAGAAAAAGATTTACATTTTCAAAACTATAGTTCAGAAGCCAGTTAAATTTCAAGGCAATTTCTTGAGATTTGAAAATGTAGCTCTCAGTTAATTTAAAAAACAAAGCAAAGCACAAACACCAACTAGAAGTTACAAGTACACTACAAGGAACATGCATTCCAGCCATGTGTAGAATATATATTGGTATAACATGATGTAAAGGAAAACTGTAAAAACATATTCTGTAATTTTAAAATTTCTATGTGGGATCCTGAAAACAGAGCAATTCAACTAGTCAGAATTACAACAGTTTTACTATAATTGGAACACAGACCATTCTTTGGAGAATATGTCTATTCTCAAACAACACTATGTGACAGAATCAGATATGGCATGATTGAAGTGAAGGAGAACAGGGTAAGGTACAAAAACAACTTAATTCCATACAGAATCATGTGAATAATGGACCTTGCACAGAATGGTGTGATAAAACTTGTAAATTAATATGCAAGGATGTTTGACAGTATGTGGGGTATGGAAGCCCCAAATGTACGTGACTAGCAGAATCAATCATGGGGATAAGAAGTTAAGCACCCAGTCTACCTCTCTCTGAGCAAAAGTTAGCTGACTCCAGACTCTCAGGATTCCTAGAATTTAATGAACACCTTGCCATTTATCACCTGTTATTTATTACATGATGATACCAATTTCTACTAACCTATAGAACCAATAACTGGGCAGGCATGAAGAAGAGGACCTGGCTATACTAGGATGGCTACCAATACATGTCACACCAAACGAACATTTCCAATTTCTACCAAACTTTTGCAGTCCGTCTTGGAATGTGCACCTAAATTTATCATCACATCACACCTCAGCTACACCATTTTTATTCATTTAAGGAATGATTCCCTTCTAATGGGTGCCTCTCTCAGGACCCCAACATCTGTCACATCCAACGTATCTTTTCCATGGCTTCTTATTTCTGATCAGTCAAATCTCAACAATCTTCCTGCAAAGAAGGGCTAGATGTAATTCTCTTTACAGAGAGTCACCACCAATTGAATCTAACATAAGATGTTTCACCTGCTTATATGATAAGTGCAGACAGCACCATCTCCACAGTGCTGCCAGCTCCTGCTGGCCTGGAGGCAAATTCAGGTCCAGAACTTTGATTCTTTGCCTCAAGTTGTTGTATTTCTAAATTGCCCACTTGCTGGTTAAATCTTAGACTGATACCCTGACAAATCCATAACCTGTATCTGGAATACAGTATGAGTGAATCCCTAACATGCGTCAATGTCACTAATGAACAAATAAACATGAAAGGCCTACAGTAAAATAACAAATGACTTAAGCAAAGAATGATCTTAGTAAATCTAGTGCATAATGACAAATTTATCGGGTACCTAATATTGCAGGTTTCCTCTTAGGAGCAGTTCAGGCTACAAGATTGAAAGCCGCACTTCCATCCTGCCTGAACTGCAAATGAGGCACTGGCACAAAAAAAATCTAATACCAACATACATTTATTAAAAAACACACTAAATGACTTAAGAAAACAATGTTTTCAAAAGTAACTAACTTCTTCACAATCAAGTGGTGAAATAAGTGCTACATAGTCCTGTATGTGGTGAAATAAGTAAGCTCAACAGCACAGCCAACATATATTTAAAACCTGTGAGATTCAGAATTTATGAACAGGGAAGTTGAACTGGATTATACCCATAAAAATATTTTAGCAGTGTATCTACACAGTAGTGTTATTTCGGAATAACTGACATTATTCTAAAACAACATAGTCGTGTCTACACAACAAGCAGTTATTTCGACAATGTCAAAATAATGTCGAGCTGGAGGACTTCTTACTCCGACTCCTGTAACCCTCATTTTACGAGGAGTAAGGGAAGCTGGAGGAAGAGTGCTTTACCTTGGACTTCCTGCTGCGTAGAGAGCGCCAAAAGCTGAAATAAGCTATTTCGACTTAAACTATGCAACTGACATATGTCAAGTTGCATAGTTTATTTGGGCTTTAGCCCTGCTGTGTAGACATAGCCTATATTATTAACATTCCATTTTTGTGAAATCTTATTTCCTGTGCTTAAATAAATGTCACGTCTGTCCGCTATGCTAGAATGTTCTGTCATCGTGCATTATTTATGGCCCAATCCAATGCCCACTGAAGTCAATGGACATACTATTGACTTGAAGAGGCCTCAGATCAAATACACGAATGTATTTAATTTATGTTATTTTTGTGATAAAAGCTTCCACCGCTTATAAGAGCCTGAACAAGTATGACTGGTCTATGCTCAATACATTGTAACAAAACGAGGACAGGGCATCCTACTAAGTATATTGAAACAAAAAACAGGACTATGTAGCACTTTAAAGACTAACAAGATGGTTTATTAGGTGATGAGCTTTCGTGGGCCAGACCCACTTCCTCAGATCAAATTGTCAAAGAAATTTCCACAATTTCATCTGAGGAAGTGGGTCTGGCCCACAAAAGCTCATCACCTAATAAACCATCTTGTTAGTCTTTAAAGTGCTACATAGTCCTGTTTTTCTGTTTCAGCTAGATCAGACTAACATGGCTACATATCTATTACTATTCTACTAAGTATATTGTGTGACAAAAATCCAAATACACCACTCATTCTCCCTCCCCCTCGCTGCCTCCCATTTAAAGTAGTATCTTACAACTAGTGGCAGCCTGGAAGTTGAAGTACTCTACACCAAGAATGAGTGTTGCACAAGAAAGCAGTCAGCATCCCAACACTGGCATGATGGCATAGTGACTGGAGTTATATATATACACACCTAAGAGACAGAAATGAACCCCCTCTGCTGTAAGTTGGAGGGACCACTACTGGAGTGGTAGGACAGTTCAGTCTCTATGACCCATTTCAGTTCTTGGTATTTCCACTGAAACCCCAACAAAAATGCTAACTATAGCCGCTCCCCGAGTTGCGAATGGTTGAGTTAGGACCGTTTGCACTTACGACCAAAGCTCCCATGGAGCGGTCGTAAAGGTGGTCCGAGTTACGAAAGCAACCCACGCTTACAAACAACGCGGTCGCGTGTAACTCAATGGGGTCCAAGATACGAACGGATGGAGTTACGGCCAAGTGTTTGGTCCGTAACTCGGAGAGAGGCTGTACTGCTTTTGGAGTGAGTGGGTTTTTGGCAAATGGACAACCTGAAACTGTACAATGCCATTTGATTGCTCAGATGCCACCACACAGCTATCAGACAATAACTTTCGATCATTAGTGACTTGAGCAGAATTAAGCGGCAGTAAACTAGAAGGATAAGGCTCAATTTCCCATTTTACTTTTCAATGGGAAATGCATCATTCTTCTTTTTCTCCTCAGTTAGTTTCTAAGCCATTTTTGGATAACTGACATTTTCATTTGTGAAATGCTTAAAACTTCCAAAATATTCTAGAATCTGGTAGAAAAGTATGGTTTTTTTAGTTTTTGTTTTTTTTTGCGCTAGGTTAAGAGTCGGGTGGGGAGTGGATAGGTAATCCATTCAGAAATTAAAAAATAAAATACATCTGGAAACTAGGGATGTAAAATCCCAGTTAATCAGTTAACGCGCTAACTCCTGCTCCCAATACTGTGTTGGGGCTGGGCCCCCCACAGATAGAGGCTGCTCTGAATGCTGGAGCAGCCCCTGCCTGCAGGGTGCCTGGGCCTACCATGGACAGGGGCTGTTCCAGACGTCAATACAGCCCATATGCGATGGGAGGCCTGTGGGGCTGGAGCAGCCCCTGCCCACCGCAGGCAGGAAGCTGCTCCAGCACCCACTAGTTAGCAGATAACCTTTCACATCCCTACTGGAAACCACTTTGAAATTTGAAACAGTGTCCAAAATTAACTGCAGCCTAATTGGTTAAAAACTCAATCTCATCTCATTGGACAAAGTGGGTTTTGCCCACAAAAGCACACGGTATATGTATTTATTAGTCTCTAAGGTGTAACAGGACTATTTTTTGTTTTTAAAATTACAGACTAACATGGCTACCCCCTCTGAGCCCAATAGATTAGTATCACTTGTTAACTACTGAATTCCAGAAAAATCTTATTTATGGGGAAGATAGTACCAAACCTACCACTAGAGTACATCAACCATCTGTTCACAAGGACTGCAAGTATATAATTATTTGCTTCCAAAGCAGAGGCAAAAAGGCAAAACAAAGAACAGAGCGAAATAAAGAGTATGTGCATGTGAGACAGAAAGACCATACAATGGAAACATGCAAACAGGTAAAAACATAACTCATAAGAATTACTAGATTTGTAATTGCTAGTGTAATCCAGACACTGCTTATTCTTTTAAACAGTACATGCTCACTGCAACACCGCCTAATTTTCTACCCCCATCTCTAATAACTTTCTCAGACTACTAGCTAAAAGCTAAAGCTGAACCAAGCAATGCACAAGACTAGCATGCTGCATTCTCCACTCACTTTGACTCATCATAAGGTGTTTTACAGATGCAATAAAGCTTTGTGTCCTTCTTCGTCTCCTTTGAGGTAGTAGAAATCATTTTCTTTTTCTTGGACTTGGAAGAATCTCTCTCCTCCTCTCGTTTTCTCTTCTGGGAAGATATTGGCACTGGGACGGTGGTGGCAGATGTGACACTGGTTGCATGTTGTGCTGGTGGTGGTGGTGGTGGAGGAGGGGGAGGTGGAGTTGCTGCTGCGGCGGCGGCAGCAGCAGCAGCAGCGGCAGCAGCTGCCTGTGCTTTTTCTTTTTCTCTCTTAATTTTAGTCAAGTCCTTCTTTAGCTCTTCCTGAAGCACATTAAATAAAAAGGCAAAAAAGAAAAAAAAAGGACATTTCATGAGGACAGAGGAATGCAATCAGAATCCAGACTCAAATCTTGTTCTGTTTAAAATAATTTAAATAATTTACCCATTCAGGTACAAGATTATTTTAAGTCAGCCCCTGGGCTGCTTTAAGTCTGATAATAAGTGTCCTTCTTTAGCTCTTCCTGAAGCACATTAAATAAAAAGGCAAAAAAGAAAAAAAAAGGACATTTCATGAGGACAGAGGAATGCAATCAGAATCCAGACTCAAATCTTGTTCTGTTTAAAATAATTTAAATAATTTACCCATTCAGGTACAAGATTATTTTAAGTCAGCCCCTGGGCTGCTTTAAGTCTGATAATAAGTAACC